GAGGTTCCTCTATGTTTCTATATGACGTGAAATGGGTCAACGTTTGTGCTTCGTGTAAAAGCTGCTTTATAAGACTGTAAAAATAAATTTTTTTATCTTAAGGCGAACGGGGGGGGTGTCTTCTTCTCTCGGGGTGGGTTCCTGGTGGGAGTGATTTCTGCTGAACCTGCTCTGGTTTGAGTTTTATGGGGTTTGTTAAATAATGATTTTAACTGATTGGTCACTAAAAACAAAACCTGAGCAAAAGTGGTTGGTAAAGCAAGAAATTCAGAACTCTTAAAGCTCCAGGGAGACCTGAGAGCCCCTTGCAGGGCCTAAAGGGGCTCCAGGAGAGCTGGAGAGGGACTGGGGACAAGGGATGGAGGGACAGGACACAGGGAATGGCTTCCCACTGCCAGAGGGCAGGGAGAGATGGGATATTGGGAAGGAATTGCTGGCTGGGAGGGTGGGCATGCCCTGGCACAGGTTGGGCAGAGAAGCTGTGGCTGCCCCTGGATCCCTGGAAGTGTCCAAGGCCAGGCTGGACAGGGCTTGGAGCACCCTGGGTTAGTGGAAGATGTCCCTGCCCATGGCAGGGGGTGGGATGGGATCAAGATCACCTTTAAGGTCCCTTCCAAAACAAACCATTCCAGGATTGTCCCAGCCCCTCAGGAGAGAAGATTGATTTCCATTCCCTAGCAGTTTGTTAAAATGTAGGGATTGAAAATAGAAGTGGATTTAACTCTGTTGCTTGGTGATGGATTTGGGTGTTTGCTGCTCACTTCGTGCTGGAAGGAGCCACATCTCCCATCTGCCTGGAGAGTGACTGATCATCCCATGGCTGCCTCGTGCTTCTGGAATGTTAAACAGCTGCTTGTCTCCTTAATCTCTTCCCCAGGCTCTCCCAGGCTGGCAGAGCCTCCCCACCCAAGGGCTCTGACCCCGGGGACAAGTCCCAGCAGAAGCTCTTGGCCGGTCGGTGCTGGCTCTGGTGTCCAGCCCCCAGGACATCCTGCTCCCAGCCTGGGCTGCAGCTCCAGTCCTGTTTTCCTGCAAAAAAATGGATTTTCTGCTGGGAAGTTTCCACTGGGTTGTAACTGGGTTGTAACTGGGTTGTAACTGGATTGTCACTCGTTGCACAGTGTTTTAAAGGACGTGTGGATGTGGCACTTGGGGACACGGTCCAGGGGTGGCCTTGGCAGTGCTGGGGGATGGTTGGATTTGATGCTTTTTAAGGGCTGTTCCCACTTCAGTGATTCCATGATTCCCTGGGGGGCACCAGGGGCTGGCACAGCCTGTCCAAGCACTGGTTTGGGAATCAGGAGGTTTCCCAGTGCTGGGAGGAAGGTCCTGCCTGGGGCAGGAGGTGGAAGGACTGGGGATAATCCCTCTGCCCCGTGATCATATCAAACAATCCAGAGTCATTTTAGAGCTTTCCCTGGCTCTCTGCCATCACAGCAGCAGAATTCCAGCCTTTCCAGCTGTGGGGCAGCCCAGAAAGCCAGGCAGGTAAGGGGGCACCTGGAGTCAATCCCCATGCCGGGCTCTGCTTTGGGGGGAAAGGAGCCTGGAGATGGTTTAAAACACACACTCAGTGCCAGAAGTGTGGGGTGGGCAGAGAGGGAGTGTTTTCTCCCTGCTCCTCCCGTAATCCTGTGGGTTGGGGACTGTGGGAGGATCAGTCAGTGACAATCCCCCTGGGAATGGACGTGCCAGGCTGTGGCACAGCACAGCAAATCCTAATGTGCCAGTTTGCCAACGCTGCAGGGGCTGGGGGTGATCCAGAGGCACCTGGTTAGCCATGAGGCAGCTCCAAGGAGGAACTGGGATGGGATTGTCCTCCTTGTGGTGCCTGGGACAGCCTGGCTGGCCTCATCCCAGCAAAAGGGCTGTTTATAAACCCAGGGGAAGCATCAGCTTCTCCAGCACCATCCATTCCCGCATGCCTGGCCAATCCCTGCATCCCTGACCTATCCCAGAATCCCCAACCTATCCCTGCATCCCTGGCCCATCCCTGCATCCCTGGTCCATCCCTGCATCCCTGGCCCATCCCTGCATCCCT